AGCCTCGTGTGTTATGACGAGGTCCTCCTGCGAACTAGCCAACTCACAGGTGATAGCCCTGTCTAGATGGTTGCCGATGCGGAGGGTAAGGGTTGAGTGATGTGAGTGCCGAATTGGGCATAGGGGTACGTCGGCCTGTCTGATGATGAGAGGCTTTGGCGAGGTTGAGTGGATTCGGCGGGGATACAGTCCCAGGACATGATCCAGTCCTCTGTCCACTGTCCAGAGTGCGTTGATGTTGCGACATGTTGTACTAGTGCGGGGGTGATCCAAGAGATCTCGATCTCGAGGCGGGTTTCTTGTGTGTTGGAAGACATGTTTGTATGTTGGTTTGATAAAGGTTTTGTATTGGTTCTGGGTGTGGTTTTCGATGGTTTTCCTTGTTGAGCGCGGGGTAAGGGGGTTTATATAGAGAGTTCGAGTGTTTGATGAAGATCATGGTAGAACACTTACGCACCAGGCGTTTCGGGGTGTAACCCCATCCTCAGAGTGTGTGTAAAGAAAATTGAATTTCCGCGCGTATAACGAAACAAATATAGAAAATCTCGCCAACCATAAAAATAACGTAAACATAACCTTGTTTCATACCCAAAGGTAAAAGAAACCGTAATCGCAACATGAGATACGAAAAATAGAAATACCCAATCAATTTTGATCCTCCAAAGTTGTAATCCTTGACCTAAATGCCTCATTCTGGGGGCCCAATTTCCGCTTCTTTTCACCCTCCCTTCCGTGGTCCTTTCCTCCGGAAGGATACCGTTTCCTCTTCAGGTCGGTTAACCTGACCTTACTCGTCGCCACGCAATCTTTCGCGAAGTGGTTATCTCTACCACAACGGAAACACTTTCCTTCCTTTTGCCACTTCTCCTTTTCGTCCTTGGTGACACCTAAGTCATCCGAGGCCTTGGAGTTGTGTGCTGGCGCGGAAAAAGTTTCCGAGGTGCGGGGTTGCGCGATTTTCGCCGTTCCGATTTTTCCTCACGAGGTTTCACGACATCCTTGCCACGTAAGATCTCTTTCCGGGCCTTCACCTCGTGATCCTTGCGTCCGACCTTCCTAACCCAGGCTAGCCATTCCGCGAAATCTTCTGGTTCCTCGATCGCATTCGAGAGGCGTTGTTCCAGCGAGGAGTTTATTCCTGTTAGGATCATGGATTTCATTACGATGGGTCCGACCTTCGCGTCCCATTCCAGATTCTGCATCTCATTGATGTAGTCATCGATCATGCCAGTTTGACGGATCTTATCCATCTTCTGTTTGGCTTGTTCTTGACTTGTTTGATTGCCGTACTGAATCCGTAATTCGTTTTTGAAATTCTCCCATGTTCCGATGCTGGGGGTGTACCGATAGTCGCTCCACGAAGTTTTGCCAGAATTTTGCCGCACTCCCGGTAAGTTCGAGGGATGCCCACAGGATCTTAGTTTGGTCGTCCCACCGGACTTTCCTCTGAAGTTCAATTGAGACTTCCATTTGGTCGATCCAGTGTCGTACGTCTTCGTCGGCTTTTCCGGAGAAGGGGATTTTTGCCTGTTTTGGCGTATCTCCCAGGGTGGCGCGAGGGGGGTGCATGAGGTCTACCTCTTGCTGCCTGTTACGGCGTCTTCGCTCCTCCCGTTTTCTCTGTCTTCGTTCGCGTGCTCGGCGATCGTCCTCTGAATCGGAGGAGCTGGATGAGTCTGAGGGGGATGGGTCTCGTGGTTTTGCGCGGTTTCCGCCGTTGCCGTTATTGCCATCGCCTCCCCTGCCTCCTTGCTCACTTTGCTGGCTTCTTGCTTCGGAGCGAGGGGGTACGGGGGGTTGGTTCCCTGATCCTTCCGGTCTCTCTCCGGAATTCCTAGGGGGTTCTGAGGGGGTTGGGGGGGTACTACGCCTCCGCCTCCTGAGCCTTCGGGGCTGTTGCCGTTCTATTGGCTGCTACCCGCATCTGCTCAATTATCTCCTCCAGGTTCTTTTTCGTACCTGCGAACTGGTCTTCCATCGCAGCTTGTCTGTCCCGTTCCATCCTCTCGAGGGCAGCCATAACCTCCGCGGGTATCTGCACTGGGCCATCCTTTGGGAGTTGCTGGACGAAGTTGGTCAACGCGTTTATGTGCTGATCCTGTCGTTCCTGCCTTTCCTGATGCGCCCTAGTTGCTTCGACGATCTGCCCAAGAACCTGACCGAGGTTGCTGGTAGCGGCGGTGGATTCCGCCCGCAGTTGAGCCATGACCTGGTTGAGCTGATTGTCGCGCTCGGCTCTGTCCCCAGCGAACTTGGCGTGGAGGTCCTCGACGATCTTGTTGGTATACTCCTGCTGTTGCCGGGTGAGTTCCCTGAGTATGGGGATATTCCGCACGTGCATGCTGAGTTCCTCGATCCCGCGGCTGAGCTGTTGTACCACGGGGGCCCCTTGTCGCTGGACTTCTTGCCCAATAAGGTCGCCAAAAGGGTTCTCCACCCGCCGTTCCTCTACGTCCATGTTGGTATCCTCGTCGTCGTCCATTACCCGAAGCACCGAGGGCCTCTGAGTAGAGGATCTCTCTCTGATTGGGGTGACGTATGGGGAGAACTCCCGGTGGTCTACCTGCCGCCTCCTCGCCTGCCCATAGGATTCTTCCTGCCTCGTCGATGTGAAGAGGGAGCCTATCGGCACATCTCTCTCTTTCCTGTGGCGCCTCTTCGCCTGGGTTTCTAATATACCTCGATCTCTCAAGGCGATTGAACTCTCCATGTTGTAGTCTTCCTCCGACCGTTGCTGATGAGCCCTTGACATTGCTAAGTTGCTCGAGTTTGAGCTGTGGTTGCCTTATGCACCAGGGTTGAGCAATGAACCAGGGGGCCGGGTGGGCAAGTCCGAAAGATCGTTGGGAGAGAGTGATCTTGATCGGGAAGAGTTCTGGGTAGTTGAGGATTTCGGGGTCGTGTTCTTCGAAAGTAGTGGTAGTTCCTGCTTCCGCGAAGAAACCTGAGTAGTGAAGGTATCCGCAGTATAGATGTTCGGCGCTTCCTCTTCGAACGATGAAGGATGTAGCGCAAAGGTAGTTATTGATGGCTGCGGTTGCTGCTCGGGGGTGCATATAGTACTTTGGTCTTTCTAATAGACTAAGCGCTTATTCTTCTACTGAGAGCACGGTGACTATCCGCCACTAAGCAAAATACTCAGAGTATTGGTTTAAGCGAGTAGCTGTCTTATCGAGACTTCTGGTAGTGTATGCGATAGGTAAAGAGTAAAAGCTAGGGATAAGGTACAATATAGTGTTTGGGGAAATGGCCAGTGCTAAGCGATAATTCTGTAGCGTTTAAACTGATGATATTGTAAACCGGATTCCCTTGACTTGATGGTTGATGATACCCTCAAGTCTTCGCAGAATCAAGCCCTATTTATACATGTTGGAACCTATGCCAAGGCCCGCTTTCTAATACTAACTGATACAACGATAATAGAATAAGATAACGCTCCCGAAGATAACCCAGATAGAAAAGCGCCCCCGCATAGTCCCGTCCTCCATTCTAATTCCGACACGTAACCATGAACCTTGCAATTGCCAGTCATCGGGTTGTACCATACTATTATCCTAGACCTACTTCTCTAAGTAGAACAGCCTACAGCCGTAAGCCCCGCTTACTATTCTATTTTGGGTGAGACACCCAACAGTAAGCGTGCCGTCATAATAGTATGGCCTAGCGTGGTGACACCGCGTGCCCCCACACTACCCGATACCTTTCTATGCTTGCCCTTCCGTTACCCGACCGGCCTTGCATCACAACCCGTCACTCGTATTTCTCACTGTCCTAAGCCTGTAGAACAGTGCTTCCGTAGTTCCTGTAACAACTTTACTGTGTCCCTGCTGATGTGTCTGGCCCTAGCACTCAGGCCAGCAATGCATGTATCCCGCCCGAGTACCTGGACTGTGTCTCGAACGTGTCACGTACAAAAGCTGCACACATGTCAACCCGAGATGTAGCAGAGTCTCTCTGGTCCTGATGTCTCACACATATTCTACTCTACGATATTGATCTGATAGCTATCAGACCGATGATATCCAGAGTCCGTATCGCGTCATGTCTCTGACCGATTCCCGCCAAGGATCTACCCCACAGCCGCAGTACGTGGCGTCACTCCCGCACTGCACATCCGTTGCCAAGCCTCCCCCGCTGCTGCCTAGCCTTGGCACCGCCCACACGTGACCCACTGCGCACGACACCCCACACACCTAACCTCACCTAACCACACTCACCTCACTACGCCCCCCCGCAGCCCTCCCCCACAAAGAAACAAAACCAAGAATGCCCTACAACCTCCTGACCCCCACCGACCTCGAAGCCCTCACGCTCCGCCACCCACTACCCGACAGCACCATCTGGACATGGAACGACCCCGACCCCGTCCCCGTCCCCGCGCGCCCCCCCACCCCACCGTCCCCGACCGGCCCAACAGGAACCGACACGCCCTGGTGGCCCTCCTGGGACCCCCCTTCCCCTGCCCCACCCCCGCGCCCACACTCACACCCACGCCGCGCCGAACACACACAGCAGCAGGACGTAATGATCATCACCCGCGAGCAGGCCGAGGAAGAGACACGCCACAGCATCATCCGCGCAGCATTCATGCGCGAGCGCGAGGCCCGCTTAGAGAGCGTTGACCATCTTCTCTCTTTTGCTGGGTCAGAGCCCGAGGAGGGGGGGACGAGCCGCAGGCGGCACAGGTGGTGACGCTGCTGGGGACGGCGCAGCTGCTGGAGCGGCTGGCGGGGGAGCTGGGGGCGGCGATGGGGAGAGGGTGTGGGCGGGGGTGGATGCGGCGCTTACGGCGCTCGTGGTGCTGGGGTGTGGGGGTGCGAGGGTGGGCGCGGTGGGGGTGGGCGCGTGTGTGGTTTGTTATGCGCGGGTGGCGGATGTGGTGTTGAGGCCGTGTGGGCATTTGGTGTTGTGTTCGGTGAGTTTTTCTGTCTGTGGGGGAGTGGGGGAATGTGCTGACGAAGGTGTGGGGGTAGGGGTGTGTGTTGGTTGAGAAGGTTGGTGGGAAGGGTGCGGGTGCGGGGAAGAGACGGCAGGCGGTGTGTCCGGTGCCGGAGTGTGGGAGGGCGGTGGAGGAGACGGTGGGTTCTGCTTCTTGCGTCCCTTTTCCATGTTAAGCTAGTGAGAATGCTGATGCCTGGCTGTAGCTCAAGACATACCGCGGCTAACACCCGGCGGACGAGTCTCTCTCTCTCTGATGCGGGGTGGAATTGCGGGCTCTTTCGTATTTTGGTGGTGGTATGTGGTGGGGGAGGGCGCTGGGCGAGAAGAACCCTAACCCTGATGGGAACTTTGATAGTTGATACAAACATTTTGGTATTTATAACGTGACAATTTGTGCATGGCATGGTGTGGTATGGCATGGAGATGGGAGTATTGGCGCAAGACTGATATGGCGTTATGTTTCTTTGGTCGTTTTGTCATGGTTTGGTTTTTTTTTGGTTTTTTTGGTTATTGGTTATTGGGCATTGGGCATTTTGAGGGGCTTCGGGCGGATGGTGGAGTAACAGCCAGTTGTGGTAGGTGTGTGTACTGTTGTATTATTGCCTAGGCCCGTGGAGGATGCATGCTCGGGGGGAGATGTGAAGGGTAAGCTGCGAGCTGTACTACTGTTGTATAAGCATCTAGCTCTCAGGTTATACGCTAGGACCTCACCCGCCGTACGCGTTGGTGGTTGGTTAAAAATATTAAATCAAGAAAGTAATTCGTCGTTTCGCTCCGAACGCAGACCCAAAAGGAGCTCTCGGGATTGGGAATATACTTACATGTACTTACGCTACTTGCGCGGTGAATGTGAATCATGCAACATCGAAAGACTCCGCGTGTGTATGCGGGGTTGGATCCTTGGCTTGGCTGTTGCTTATGTTGTCGTGCAGCTTACTTCTGGATATATATGCACCCCTCTCGAGATCTCTTTAGTGTATACCGTGCAAAGGTGCTGACGGAGCCAACTCGGAGAGCGCCAGGGCTGGGCGGGTTGATTGTTGCAGTGTTGCGGCAGATACCCGCCCGCTCGGCGGTGCGCGCCACACCAAGCCCCAACACATCAAAAACACAAAACACAAAACATACGCGCACAACCGAGACCCGCCACCACCCAACTACATACTCAGTCAGGCCTGCATTCGCTCTACAGCCTCCCCGATCGCGACACATGCAGTTTCCTTGCACATTTCGGGGTCTATCCTACTCAAACAGCTTTTCTTCTCACCGCCCGAGATCGGTGTGGACTCGCTTTTCGATGTCTTTCCCGAAACCTTTGATCACAATGCATTTATTGATGCGTTTTCTGGCGCCTTTGCTGGAATGCTCATGATCCCCCGGTTGCGTCAAGGTGATTCCTTCTTTTCTCAATACCCTCCCTCCCTGCCCCCCCCCCCCCCCCCCCCCACAAACCCGGGTCCTGGGAAGGTTGGTGTGTCCATTAATCACAGGCAAAAGCGCCGGGAACATCGGCGAGAAAGACAGAGAACGGTGTGCGCGGGGAACAGCAAGGAAGGTGCCAACAAAGCTGTTGGGGGAGCATCGGGAAACGTATCGGGGAAGGTGTTTGAGAAATGTATCCATCAAAAGGCTCTCGATCTTGGGGGTTGTGTCCTGTCCTGTGACGGTAGAGGAATCCGCTGGTTGTGGATGCATCAAACTCGTGGGTATGTCAATGGCTCAATGATTTGGTTTCGGTTGACGTCCTCTGGATACGAAGGAGGTAATTGATTTGGTGGGAAATGCAGTGGGTGGGGTAGGCTTCGTAGTGGGCATACCCCGTCAAAAAAAGATTGGGGCTCGAGTTAATTAAACGCTATTTCCTATGCTTTTTGATTTATCCTGGCGAGCTTAATTTAGCCCGGTGAGCCGTTGAGACTAGGGTCGGTAGTAAAATATACTTTGAAAGAAACGGGTGAATTCGGTCATAGGATATCACTCGACAATGAAAGGGGTCGTGAGCGGAAGGGACGCAAAGAAAAGATTTGACAGTACCGTGTACCCGGATAGAGAATAAAAGGTGCCGGCTATGGAGAAACTGTGGGAGTTGGTGGGTTGAACGGGAGTGAGTGTCATGAGATCTCACTCGACCGGAGGTTGGGGTTTTTTTTTATTCAGAAGGGGATGTGGAAGATATATACCGACAGGAGAGTGCTGGACACCTGTAAAAAGTATCTTCTCTACACTGAGTAGAATTAACCTTTGGTAATGGCAGTGGAGGAGCGGTTCTGGCAGGCGTATTGGGTACTACTAGTGGGTGTTGAGCTAATCCGTGACAATAGCCTGAGCTGGCTCTACCACGACAGGAAAAGCAGGAATTGATGCATTTCACATAGAAAAACAGCTCGCGAATGCATTAGTGGATTCATAACATTGTCGAGTCCTCAATAAATGTATCAGGATAACACATTTCTTCACGATTTTTCGTGAACTTTTCCTTACTATCAACAAGCGTGACCTTCCCTGTACATTTACCTAATGTGGACGATTTTACGTACTGTGCGAGCATCACAGTTACCTAAAATTATCAACTCTCATAACCTCGGCTTATCATTTAAACAAAATAACCCAACATTTTGCTAAAATAGGTATATTTCTTTACCAGCATATAATAGTCCGCTGTAATTGCAAAGTTCTTTTTTTAAAAAAACTTCTATGCTAAATTGGAAGCTGCAAGAAACAAAGTCATTCCATAATATGAAAATATGTATTGAAATAATTTCTAAATCACGGTTCTCTATATCATATCTTTGCAACAATTGAGTTTTCCGCCGCCTTCAATCAATTTTATTTGTCTGTCGCGACTCGTATTCTCATAAGCTCTTTGAACTCTATAAACTAACCGGAATTGTAAATCTTCATAAGTTAGTAACCGATACATAGGAATTGCACAACTTTGAAAATGACCCTCAGCTTCTTTAAATAGGGCGCTCGGCACATTTCATAGTTCTGGAAGATTCTCATCATATTATCATAGTATTTGTCATCGGCGTATGACCCACTTTCTTATTAGTCATTCTATTACTCACACGTCTATGACTCATTGTATTTCTTTTGTACTACCTTTCATAAGTATAAATACAGGGCATTCCCCCCTTAGCTAGAACAATTAACACGATCAATTACTTCACTTCTCCTACATACTTTCTCTAGGTTATGAGCCCGGAGAACACTCACGCTTATACACTCTTCACCATTTTTTCCACAAAGTACACTTTCTCGTTTCACTTTCAATCATTTCTGAGAGAAGCATCAAAATTCCCACACTCCCATGCAAGCTGGATGGTTAAGGCCATTACACTGTATGGAGGGACCTTGCTACCCGCATGCTGAAAGTTCACGATCTGTGGAACTTGGTCAATGGTTCGAGCAAGCGTCCCGTGTTGACAACCACCACCACTACTGTACCTACCACAGCACAACAAGCATCAGGAAGCGCTGCTGAGGCTGAAGAAGACGAAGAAGAAACCTCCGACAACGCCGAAGAAATCAGCGACTGGGACAAAAAGCACAACCTTACGGTTGTATTCCTTCAATCTAATATCGAATTCGAAGTTATTCTCACGCTGACACCGGCCGACACCGCTCATCACCTCTGGACTCAACTCGAGGACAGATTCGATCGGAAAACCGTCGCCTCCCTCCACTCGCTCCTCGCTAACATCGTCACCCTACAGTACACACCCGACAAGGGTATCAAGGAACATCTAACCCAGTTCAACACTCTTTGGTCATCCCTCCTCACTAGAACTAGCAACACTACGGACAAGACCGAAGACCCACTCGGTTACCACCTCCACCAGCTCGCGTCTGTTTCAGAAGCGAAGGCATCCTTCCTACTCCTCTCACTCCGGCACGAATCCCTCGAATCAGTCGTTGACAACCTGCAAACCAAGCCCAACGTCACTTTCGATGACGTCTATGAAAAGCTGTTGGATCTGGACTCACGGCGCAACAATGATGGACAGGCGGCTGGAGAAGCCTACATAATTAGGCGAGGAAACCCAGGACACGGAAACAAAAACAGAGTCAGGAGGCCACGTAACAACGAAACAGGAAATCGGGACGTCACATGCACCTGTTGCACCAAGAATGGAGAATATCCAAAAGGCCACACGAACAAAAACTGCCGGAAACTCAAACCTTTCAGAGATAAGGAGAAGTCCGCTGCATCTGGCAATCTCAACGTCGTGTCTGGTACTGCATTTCACACAAAACTTGACCTCTCTTGGATCCCCGATCTTTCTGGCCTTCCCGCACTCGAAGAAACTGATGTATTCACAATGTCGGTTGACTTCGACCTCACCACCTTCTCAGATGACACTTCGGACATTACCATGGAAGACTACTTCGGCTTCATTGCAGGACCTTCCACTTCCGATAACAAGGCATGGTTCTTCGACCCTGGTGCAACCAACCACATGACCGGGACGCTGGTTACCGACCCCACTCCCCACAATGGAACAGTTACTGTTGGAGGAGGTCGCAAGCTCCAGATCACCGGAATAGGCAACGTCACCATCAACGGATCACATGGCCTGATCACTCTGCAGAACGTATTCTTGATCCCCGAATTACGCAACACCAACCTGATGTCTTGGTCTTGAATCGCTAAAAAGGGATTCAAAACAACTGGGACGGAAAACGGCTTTACCATCTAAAAACCGAACAGCAAGGAAATCATCGGGATTGATAACGCAAATAGTACTGGTCTTTACAATCTCGAAACCAAGGAACCCTGCGCACACCTCTCTGCCGCCACCAGCTTCTATGACTGGCACCAACGGCTCGGACATCTCCCCGCTTACTCGCTCTCACGGCTTCGCACCATGGTTGTCGACCCCAAGTCACTCCCCACATCTGGTCACATGGAAACATGCAACACATGTGAACTTGCTAAATCAACCAAGTCTCACCTCGCTCCCCTCACCGAACCACAATCTAAACAACCACTGGAACTAATACACTCAGATCTGAGCGGCAAGTTCTCGACTCCTTCTCTGGGCGGTTTCAGTTACTATATCACCTTCATCGATGATTATTCCAGGTACGCTCACCTCTATTTCCTTAAAAAGAAATCAGATGCAGCAGCTGCCACAGAACGATATATCGCATACATGGAAAATCAATTGGACAAAACGGTTAAACGGTTTCGAAGCGACAATGGTGGCGAATACATCTCCAATGACCTTCAACGATTTTTTGCCTCCAAAGGCATAAAGCACGAATTCAGTGTACCTTACTCTCACGAGTCAAATGGAACAGCAGAACGCTTCAACAGGACTATAGCAACAATGGCACGATCCGCCTTGCTCGACCACAACCTCCCAAAAAACCTATGGGCAGAAGCGATCAACACCATGGTACACGTCAAAAATAGACTCCCGCACAAATCCCTCCCCCACATGACACCATACGAAGCACTTACCGGCAAGAAACCCTTTATTAGGCACCTCCGATCCTTCGGTGAAAACATGTTCATACACATACCCGTAGAAGCATGACCAGCAGGAACAAAACTGGATACAAGGGCTATAACGGGACAATTCTGCGGATACGGAGACTCAGAAAAAATCTGTCGCGTCCACATACCATCACAAAGGAAAGTAGTTCTCTCTTGTCATTTTAGGTTTAAAGGTACATCCGTAGGGGAAGAAATCGAAGTCAAAACAAAAAACGATAGACCCCCTAAACCAAAACAAATCGAGATCAAACAAGAACCACCCTCACGTCCGACAACACCAAAACCAAATAGGATATACGACGACGACCTAAGTGACGACGACATTATCAACCAACAGATAATGCACGAAACCATGGAACATTTCTCCGAAACTAATTCGGAAGACCACGCAAGTATAGTGGGGGCCGGCTATACGAGGCCCGCCACTGAACGTACCCCGCATGATGATAATGAAACAGATACTGATCAACCGAGACGTAACCCAGCACGTGAACGAAAAGCTCCGGTCAGATACGGATACAACATTCAGCATGACACTACCCTAACAGAACCAACAAACTATCACCAAGCGATCGAGAGTCCTGACTCCGAAAAATGGCAAAAAGCTATGAAAGTTGAACTCGACTCACTCGCAAGGAATAACACATGGAATCTGGTCAACACACCGGATCACCGCAAACTGGTCGACTGCAAATGGGTATACAAAACCAAACTCGGGCCCGATGGCAACCCCATACGGTACAAAGCCCGATGAGTCGCAAAAGGTTTCTCACAGGTTCCTGGTCAAGATTTCGATCAAACCTATGCCCCTGTCACCCGATACGAATCCATCAGACTACTCCTCGCTCGCTGCCTTCAAACCGGTGGCCAATGCGATCAGATGGACGTCACAAGCGCATTCCTATACGGCGAACTCAAGGAAGAAATCTACATGAAATCTCCTCCAGGATACCCTACCCCCGGCAAAGCATGCAGACTAATCAAATGCATCTACGGTCTCAAAAAATCCTCAAGGGAATGGTATGCCCGCCTCTCAAAAGCGCTAATCAAAATAGGATTCAGAAAAGCAGACTTCGACCCTTATGTCTTCATACACAAAACAGGGGAAGTTGTCATCGCAATCTATGTGGACGACATCCTCATTTTCTACTGGTCCGTTGAACGTAAAAACCGCGTCAGCCTCCTACTCCACTCTGAATTCAAAATGACGGAAACTGGCACAGCCAACTGGGCACTCGGAATCCACTTGATCCACACTAAGACTGGCATCATCCTATAACAGGAAGCCTATCTCAAGCGTGTACTTATCAAATACGGTTTTGACGAATCCAGACCTGTGGCAACACCTATCGACAACAACGTCCACCTCCAAAAAGGAACGGAAACTGAAAAAATCGACGATCCAACAATTTATCAGTCGATAATCGGTTCACTCATGTACGCAGTAATCGGTACTAGACCCGACCTCGTCTACACCGTCACCATGCTCTCGCAAGTTTCCTCCTGTCCCACCAGGGCTCATCTAGCTGCAGTCCATCGCGTCCTCCGCTACCTCAAGGGAACCCTCGATTAGTCACTCTTTTACGCCAAAACGGGACCAACTGCACTCATCGGCTATAGCGACGCAAGCTATGCTTCCGACATCGACGATCGCCGCTCATTCACTGGCCACTGCTTCATGCTAGGAGAAGCTCTCATCTCCTGGCGTTCCTATAAGCAACGATCCGTCGCCACTTCTACAACTGAAGCGGAATACATGGCCCTTTCGGACACAAGTCGACAACTGATTTGGTTAAGGAATGCAATCCACGAGCTGGAACGAAAACCGAATCTCTCTTTTATTCTTCGAGGCGACAATAACGGCTCTCTCTCTTTGGTTAAAAATCCTGTTTTTCATAAAAAGTTTAAACATATTGACGTACATTTTCATTTTGCTTGGGAACGGTTTGAGGATGAATTATTTGAACTGGAATATATTTTTACGAACGAGAACGTGGCGGATTTACTTACAAAGGGATTGGATAAGGGCAAACATGTTTTATTTTCTTCTACTATTCACTGTGGCTCACGAGGGGAAGTCTTGAAATAGGGCGCTCGGCGCATTTCATAGTTCTAGAAGATTCTCATCATTTTATCATACTATTTGTCATCGGCGTATGACCCACTTTCTTATTAGTCATTCTATTACTCACACGTCTATGACTCATTGTATTTCTTTTGTACTACCTTTCATAAGTATAAATACAGGGCATTCCCCCCTTAGCTAGAACAATTAACACGATCAATTACTTCACTTCTCCTACATACTTTCTCTACAGCTCACGCATGCAATATTTGCACAATAGCCAATGGCATAAACGCTATTGAATCAAAACAAAACAATACTGACACTGCATTCCATAGTTGTATTAAAACATCCGAAGTGAAGGATTTATTTACAAATCCTATACTGAACCAAGATGTCGATATCTGATTGCTTCGAATTTCAAATACAGTACAAGGTACAATTGTTGATATTTACAACAACGGTACAAAGAAATGATCGATTCTACTCCTACCGATGGTTACTTGCTGGCAATTTCTTTCAATACATATAAGCTATCTATTTTGTTACTATTGGTTGAGAACTGACTCCGTGGCCCATAATAAAAGATAGCATTAGTCGTTATACCCCCTTCTGCATACCGAATGTCTTGCTTTCCATGGGTATTCAAATGAGGTGGAATGTGTGATTACCCCTGAAGAATTTGTCTCCCTACTCAATCCCCTACGAGAACAATTTGTAACAGTACACACTGAACAAGGTGAACTCAAAGTACCGATATTATTGTGTTCATTTTCACTTTCGAGTTATTTTCACTGTTCTAGTTGTACTCACATTCACTTTAGGGTTATTTTGACTGTTCCTGTTGCACTCACTATTATTTTCTCCTAATTGTCACATTTGCCGTAGCTCGCTGTCCGTTCATATAGCATAGGAAAATCATACTCACTTCCCTCTGAGACAAACCCTGACAGTCTGATCACATCATGCCAGAGCCTTATATACCCCCAGGAGAATAGCTCCTGCCAATGATATAAAAAGAAGTCCGTACAACAACAACTCAGTCCGGGGATCCAACTATCAAGCCTGAAAGCATGTTTCGAACCATCACTGATTTTGAAAGGGGGAGTGGGGGGTTTTGTCTCCTGCGACGGCGGTGAATAGACACAGAGCAGACCGCCAAATCTGTACAAACCACTGCCGCCTGAAGCTCCGATGCCCCCAAACGATAAACTCTACTCCCTAACTAGTTTTTATGTGTATTAGTGGTAGAAGATAGCTTACAGAGATGGTAAGCAGCTCTAGTTGTGGCGAGTAAGGGGAATCAGAATGGAGAAAGTGCGGGGATGGTCGGAGGGATCGGCACCTCCGTAAATCCGCCGGAGAAAAAAAAGAAAAGAGTTCTGGAAGTCTGGATATATAACCAGGTTAATCCACCGCGGCCGACGGGACGCTGTATTGTAATTTGTAATCACCCGTAGCCAATAGTGAGACGTTTACCCAAGCGTTTCGATAGCCGCACCACCAAGAACGCCTTCTCTTCATATTTTACTACCACTACACCCCCCCGGCTTAAGGTCCCCCCGCAGCACGCCTACTTCCGAACATAAAAGCAGTAATTGCATAAAGGTTTGCATAAGATTTCCTGACCCTTATCTCTATTTTGTTTTAGAGGACAGAGGTCGCTCGCTAGATTGCGGTGATGGGGCACATCCCTCTCTGCAAATGGGACTGGGATTGACGCCACTATTCGCTAGTTGATGGTTGATTGATGTTTGCTCATGCAAACGGACAGGAAGGAAGACTTCCGGGGGATCGGGGTCTGCATGTTCTCACTTGTTTCCTTGGTCGGTGTTGATGGGGAAGCTAACAATCCAGGGGCGGATGGGTCTGGGTATGGCTGTCTTGCAAAGTGAGAGGTCACGGGTGGGTATACCCTTCTGGTTACTGTTTGACGGCGCATTGCCCGTCTTCCAGAAGTGGGTGAGTGCACAGGAGCAATAAAAAACACCTTTCCCCATCGCAGTTAAATAACGTCTCTAGTATGTGTTTGTGCTCTATCACTCTCATTTATCCAATACCCATGCCCACACCCACACCATCTCCTCAGGTATTCTTTGCCCCCGCCCCCGCCGCCTTCGGGATCGTCCACGGCGAAACTGGGTCCCGCTTTATTCCATCCGCACCCTTCCCCGCACCTTCGCCTAGCACCACCTGCGGCCTCGCGACCTTCTCCGGCGCCTTCCGGAAGGGCACGATCTCGTGAGCGCTGTCAGCCTTATCGTTGCCTGTGATCGTCTTGCCGTCGGCCGCGTTGTTATGTGTTGCCTAGTGTCGTCAGTTAGCGGGAGCGCGGAGAACTGGGAAGGGACTCTTACCACCCAGACCCCGAGGACCTTTGAGTTGTCGTTCGGGACCGCCAGCAACATGCGGTCTGATCCCTGGGACCCCTTGACGTCAGGATCCTGCATACGCCTTATGTCAGCACCGTTTCCTCATTCATCCTCCTCTACTACAGCTAAATTGGGGATGGGTGCATAGGGGACATAAAGGGCGCAGGATAACTCACATGTACCCACAGCTCCCCGCTACGCAAAATCGGAAACTCAACAAGATTCCACATTCCTGCCTGGCGATCCGCGTCTGACAGACCGACCTCCTCCAGTTCATTGTCGGGCACCAGCTGGTTTTCCTTTGTGGAGGCCTTGTCTTTGCTTGAGACTTTCTGGTTATGGTTGAGGCGTGGGTATTCGGCGGCACTAGTTTTGAGCTTCGAGGCGACGTTATTTTTGGAGCCTTTCGAACTCTTCGCTGCTTGGCGTTGTTTCCGCTCTTGCTGCGCTGTTTTCCATAACTGTAGCACCTGGGGCGCGACGGACGTGATACCGGCGCCGTGGTATTTGACTATGTTAAATCGATTATCAGTCGAGTCGAGCTAAGCCTAGTTGTGCAATAGTTCAAAGAGTGGGCTGGGTGTGGGGGAGAAAGGGCACAAACGCGATTTTCCACCACACGTAAAGAAATCTTCCTTTCCCAACGTCTCAAACTTAGCGCGCTTTCCCAGCCTTTTCTTTGCACCAGTCGATTTCTGCGCGCATAGCAAAGTGTAAGTGCCTGTGGCTGTGTCTCCGTCATTGGCGGCCTGGCAGTCAGCCCGCTTCCCGATGCGACCCTTGGCGCCGGGGGTCCAGGCACAGGCAGCCCCGGTGCTCCCTTTTGCCGCAGCAGCGCCTTTTGTGGTCTTCTTCTTGGCCGCTGTGGCGCCCTTTCCGGTTTTCGCCTTCGCTGGGGCCACTTCGCCTTTGGATGCTTTGGCCTTGGTTGCGTTGGCCTTGGTCGCTTTGGCTTTGGGCTCGCTGGCTTTTGGGGCCGCACGCCGGGCGAGGATGGATGCGGGGCGGGCCCGGGGATAGACACCGGACGCGTGCCGGGGGACGCCCCGGGAATCAATACTGGCGCCGGCAAGGGCTGTGAGCTGGAGCAGCGCGAGAAGGGTGACGAGGAGGAGGATGGCGGACTTCATGTTGGCTTTTGGCTTGTTAAGAGAGTGTATAGCTTCTACTGGACCGGCAGTGTAGCGTTTGTGCTGTTGTGTGATGGGAATACGGGAAGCAATGAGGGGGAAAGAGTCTATACTTATTGTGATGATAGGCTCTCTTTTGCATTGTGCATTTTCCGCCGGGTGTGGCGTGGGTGCGGCGAGATACTATGTAGAATTGTCGGTGTAGCGGAAGGAGAGGTCGGTAGTGCACCCCTGTGTATACCTTCCCTGCCCCTCATCTCTCCCTCCATTATTAGCGAGAGGCGCGGTGCGGTTAAGATGAACCTACATTCCCGAATAAATCATCCTGCTAAAGAGGTGGGCAAGAGGCGCCATTGTATCTGCACATAAGTAACGTGCTGAAAATGTTCATCAGCCCATTATAATCGGGGGTTAATTGGTTGCCCTGGCGTCTACCTTCTTGATGTTAGCCATTCACTCTAGGTTTTCTCTTAAAAGGCCGCCGACATTGCAAGTTTTTTCCAGTCTCCTCTCTCTCCCCCGCCACTCTCTGCAACGCACAATAGCCGTACCGCCCCCCCCCCCCGGACAAAACCTACTCCACACTGGCAAAGCTCATCCCCGATAGACGTGCGAACTGTGGAGGTAGGTAAATCTATAAATAACCCCTATCTCATCAACTTGTTTCTGTATCTTCTAGACGTGCGTGAGATACATGTGTTCAAGGTGCTCCCCAGCGGGTGCGGTTGGGTAAGCTCATGCGCTGCTGGGGGTGAAGAGTAGGATGGAGGATGGTGATGGAGAGATTTGTCGAGAGGATTGTGGCGGAGAAAGTCGTGGTGGAGAGGGTTGTGGTGGGGTGAGGTTCCGATAAAGTGCGGCTCTTTTCGAAGGTGTGCTGAAGAAGTGGGTGCGATGCGGCTCTTTTGTGGCGGGGGATCATGCAGGGTGTGCGACAAGGCGAGGTGGCACGACAGTGTACCACACGCTGCACGCCCAGCCTAAACCACGCCCATGAAAATTGCTGTTTTTCTGCGCTGAGGTGATCGCAAGGATCTTGCAGAACCGTTCGCTACCAAGAACCCCGGTGTCTTAGATTAACCGGCGCCTGCTCGCGGGTCCATCCTTGTAACAGTTAATTGATTATGTGGGGGATTGGTTCTTTTCGATAGGTGGAAGTTGCCATGGTGTGATACTAGCGGATAGAGAGTGTGGCGATTGGACTGGTGTACGCCGCTGGCGCAGTGCTGACGAACAGATGCGGACAGGCTCGATAGAGAATGTTGCGGAGATGGCGGCGGGTATGATATGCGTTAATTGTAGTACGCTGTAGCATATATATAGGTCTGTAGAAGACTAAGTAAGGGACAAGATACATGCGTTGTCAGAGAACACAACGTAACTTAAGTCTTGTCAACATGCAAACACTTGTACGAGGGGTTGAAGATAAAGTGTGGGACCTTTTTCCCTCTAATAGTCCTATACCTAGTAAGTTTCAAGGCTGTTCAAGACGAGGTCTGAATATCCGAGGTCTAGGGAGGACTGTGCCTCTGAATCTTTGGATGCAGGAGTAATGCCGATTGGATTGAACAGGTTGCCGCAGTGTAATTATAGGTCTTGGAACTAACGCACATGCTTAACCAAGTCCAAATACTATGTGCAAAAACAGATTCTCCCAACCTCTCCACAACGCGCCGCTTTAGCGGCGCATTCTGTGACGGTCCTGTTTGCAGCAACAACCTTCGTCACCGCTTGACCTCACCAAGGCTATGAGGCTCCAGTCAGGGGTCGCCGATACGGTAGCGCAGAAGTGAGCGTAGTATAATGCTATCCAAACCTTCCGCATGAATCTACAGTACGATGCCAGTCGTGAGCGTCAGGCGCGGCGTCGCAACGCTCCCCCGAACCATCACGGGTACCAGCACAGCAACCACAATTGATCATTTGGAGAGCAGAATTTTTGTATAGTTGTTAAATAGTAGATAAATAACAATAATTTGACATTTAATATCTTGTGTACCAACCCGCCGTGAAAAGGTTGTGGAAATCGGGTTGTGCGCGCGGCGTTGCGACGCCGCTCCTGACGCTTACGACTGGCATCGTACTGTACCAATAAGAGGATGGGAATACTGTCGATCTCCTCCTCTATTCGGGAAGACGGGAATGTAACTAAACCCTCGCAGAATATCTCGGTGGGCTGCACAGGATATGTGACATGGGAGGGATGAAATGGAAAGCGTTACTGCAGTTGGAAATCGTACGGGAGGGTAAGAAAACACTCATCATATGAAGCAAGCTGCTAGATCTCGAACCCCTAGACTCACGGTTTGTCAGAGATGTGAGCAATAGCTATAGGTCAAGTACCGAAGTACTGGGGGATGGAGAATAACCTCTTTGAACTCCCGTATCACCAGAAAACTGTACTTACCAGTACAAGCCCACGAATGAAGACCAAAAAGATATACGCCCCCGGGATTACGTTAGAAGGGTATGGTCGCTGGTTCTCGGGAGAGAGAATATGGAAACAGCGAGTTAATTGCGGGGGTGAAGGCGCGAAACATCACCATGCTGTTGGTTCATGGGGCGTTATATCCGATTCTACTTCCGAGGTTGGAAGCCCGGCGAAGAACTGTGCACTGTAAAAACATTGCAAGAGCGCGTGCCTCTTCTCTCTGTGACCTGTCCGGATGAGCAGAGATCGAGAGTTCGACGATATGAGTGGTAGAACACCGGGACGAATTATTCGGATGCAGATGCATATGAGAAGCGTCTACCAGCGTTCGTAATGTCCATCTGACGCCCCGGCAGGTGTGCAGCAGCGGTTTGGTGGCAGGAGAGGTATGGAAGCGGTAGAAGAGGGATAAACAGGTGTGAGTTCGGGGTATATGGGTTAGTTAAGGAGATGGCCAGTTGGTGGGTTCAGACATGGTTGCCAGCGGGGGTGGGGGAGGGATGTAACTTGGACGTCGGTATTTGCGGATATCTCGGTTCGAAGAAATTGAAGTATTGAATAACCCTAACCCTGATCAGATTGCATCGTTGGCTCAATTGACCTTCCTAGACATACAATTGTAGGCTTGCAATTGATGGACGACAAGACGACAAGCGAGACTACATCCCTGGGTCGACACCGGTAATACCTGGCTATCATAATAACAACGCGGAATGGCATGAAGTTGATCCGCTCGTCTCGCGTGGATACCACCAGCTGGGAGATATGCGGTGCCATACTCATTGAAATTATTATGCTGTCTGTACATCATGCTGCTATGGACGTAATTATTCTTATCTATTTTCCGATCCCCCCCCCCAAAAAAAAAAAACCCAAGAACTCCTCTCCCTTTCTGCATCCCCCGCGCTTTCCGCGTCCGCCTCCCTTCCCGCGGTCAACCTATCTTCCACCTTATACAGTTACTGCTATCGGACCTATCAAACCTCCTTGTAAGTCCATACCCTGCGTCTCCTCACCAGCGAATCGGCCTCACTCTGCCATCGTTCTGCATCCACCGTATCCAATGTCCTGTCAAACAGCCACAAGTGACTTCGAATATGCCACAGAAACGTCTGACTCCTCCACTTCTCCCACTTCCTGACCAGCCCCATACGCCTCACCAATCCCCCATCTACCTCCTCCATCCAGTCGTCCCTCTCTGCCCACCCACCGCCCCGCCGCCCAAGCCGCACCTGTATCTTCTCCACCACCGACAGTCTCACAGCTGGCACCGTTCCCCACAAAATCTTGCACATCTCGTCCGACTCCTCTTTCACCTGTGTCAAAAGTGCATCCAAGTGTCTGATGGCGACAACGATGCAACGCATCCATATCGACGCGAGGGGTTCCTTGTCTTCGCTGATGATGCAAGGAAGGGGAGGGTCTATGCCTGTGAGATACTCGGGCGCGGTGGGCAATTCGTGGCACAGCGATCTCACTTGCGAGTATGGGTACCAGTCGATGATCATTATACTACCCTCGCCGTAGTGTTGGCGCTGGATGATAGCGAGAAGGATGCGGAGGTGGTGGATCGTTTCTGCGAGGATAGTGAACATGCGGTGGGAGGTTTTAAAAGAGTTGCGGGCTTTCGCCAGCATGGTGTGAGGATTGAGGTACTGATGGGCAAACGAAGGGCTTTTCCGATCGTTATATTAGTGAGATGGTAGTACCCCGCATCTATGGGGGGCGGGGAGGTGGGAAGGAGTACGTACAGCAGTTTATTGGGATCTGGCGATGATATAGAATCCGCTCCGGGGTAGATCTCCCAACTGAGCGGTTTGCCGCATAGGTGGTAGTCAATACTGTCGAAGATCATTAGATCGAGGGAAGGTGCTGTGGTGGGTACATCGTAGGAGACGATGGCTGTGTGGTGAAAAGAGCATACTCACATCAGACATGTGACGTAAGGACATTGGGGGGGGGGGGGGCGTTCTCCGTGGAGTATGGCCCGCGAAACTAACTACATGTGAAGCGAGTATTATATAATATCCCGAAATACCCATCATAGCAAGACTCCTCTCGGGTGTCTATAATTAAATTCCGAGCTATAGTGCAGGATTAGCTACTTTTTCTTGAAAATAATCTTAGAAGAATAGACTCGATACGTTGAAATAAGGTACTGAAGAGGCAGGCAGTGTCACCGGCCCACAAAGGGCATAGCACGAGGCAGATGTGGCTTATTGAGTCGCCTCTATCCGATCAGTAAATGAGTGATGTTTACAAACATGGTAAGTGACTTTAAGTATTATGAAGTTAACCAGTCCAGAATTCAATCGTGCACTACGTTCAATAGCTAATCTAAGAATAGGTTCAACTTCGAGAACATTTCTTATGTCTTGAGATGTACCTTTGACATTCTGTTGACAGAAAATTGATATCTGGAGACTCCTTGAATAGTTATCATGTTACTGGTTGGTAAATGAATAGATAGACATTTTGAATAGCTGGGTGTCTTTTGGAGCGGAGTGACGGAGTGTGTCTTTCTTTCGCTGTGTAAGCTGATAATGTTCCAACTGCGTTGCGAGCCCGTGGTTCCACCCAGACAGTCACAATCAGAGCTCATGTAGTCGTTTAGGTTTGGTTTTAGGTGATAAAAAGGGGTGATGCTTTGCTGTTTAAGCTTACAACAGGCCCTATTGCTGTTCCTATCACAGCGGTGGTGCATCCTCGAAGGACGTTACATAAACCTAGTAGGGACTTACACTAGGCATATAGAATAGTACCTACAGGAGAGGTATCGGTCAAGCTCATACCTGGATTAGTTAGCCACTCAATCAAGGAGAAACGGGGGGATCTTTAGCTATCTGTAATCCAGACCTGACCGTTGCGAACGCTGACAGTCTTAGTCTTAGTCTAATTCTAATTCTAATTCTCAGAACTCGATTAAAAGTACTCAAGAGCATAGATCAATTTGAAAGTCCGGTATTCCCTCCCCTCGTCTCGTCTTCTCTCGTGTCGACTTCCTCCTGCCTCCTACGTATCACTAGCTTTTCGGGGAAACGACAGAATGTCATGACTGAACTAGAAATGTTACCCGCCCTTGATGGATGGGATAATGTAAATGCATTCATCATGATTCAGAAAGCGGCACCCAATCCATCAATCATGAAGTACCTCGCTTGACCACCTCGACGTCCTGGCCAACGGAGTAGAAGCTCAAAGTAAGCATATCGTAGGATAGTGTGTTATTTGCGTATATAAGGAGGTCTACCTCTTTAGAATCTCGGTTTCTTTCAACTCCTAAAACCAACTACAATCCATTATTAAACAGGTTCAGCAAACTCTTTTGGACTGGAAAACCGGGGGTGCGGTGGAAAACTGCAAGGAGGCGAGTACCTGTACGACTTGATAATAGCCAAGTCCCGATATCGTGCACGTGAGCAGCTGCGAAACTGGATGAGAGCTCTCTGTTGAGCGGAATAACTCTTTAGATAAATTCTTATTAAATATGTACTTTCAAAGCCAATCTGCCGGCGGTACGCCTTTCTCGGTAGGGAGCTTTGGCAGCTGGGTGGCGAGAATAATAATCGTGTTTAGATTTGCATAGGGCAATCCTGATTGGTAAAGTGAGGGAAGTACATAGGTCTACTGTAGTACCTTGTGCATTGAATCAACGATTACTACTAGGAACAGAATAGCGAGTTCTGGAAATACCTTACTTAGTCAATTATCATCTGAAGACGTGGCCATTGGTCGGATGCCCAGTCCTGGTTAAACGTATTATCAGCTGTATGGGGTACGTGTAACTTCTTACGCATATGTGTTTTCAGCATCATCGATATCCTTGTCCTCGATGTCATTCTTCTCGAGCTCCACATTCATATTGTTCCCTATACCATTACATACTCGAATATAGGATACGTACGTATATTGATATAATCTATTCTTCTCAACCTCTTACTATAGTCGCTACTCATTGCAATCGGGATCCACGAACAATATTGATTACTCACGACTTACTTAGTTCCATATTTTTACATATTCTTTACGGCCACCCTATCCAATTATACCTTTCCTCCTTGATCCAATAGACAGAAGATGGCAATACGGAGAAGGGATCTTGTACGTTCTGTCAAGGTGGCTGCCGCAGCATATAGGCGATTTCTTGATACACAGGCAAACGGTGCAAAGTAAGTTCCTCGTTTTCTAGATCTGTATACCTCAATAATATTAAATTTTGTTGGAACGAGCCTCTAACACACTATTAAAAAGAGAGGCAGTAATTGAAAAGACGCGGGAAACACTGGAACTGGCGAATCAGCACGCTCAGGAAACCATTCCAGCGCCCCACGTACTGCCTGTCGCAAGCAACCTTTCTGTCCAGCCTAACGCTGCCGAAAACCGTCCAGGGCGCACCACGGAACGTGCAAAAAGATGGCTCAGAACTCAAGCTAAGACGTTAATGTTTTGGGTGATTATTAGCTTTTGTTGTGTAGCTGTCTTTGGGTGCATCTCGGCAGCCATCTCAACCCTACCAGGCGGCGTGAAGAAGCCAAGTAGGGTACGCGGCTGCGAGATAATCATCCATCTCATCTTAGCCGTCAATAGCATACTCCTAACTCGGGCAGACACAATCACCAACACAGTACACGGTGCAATTTATTACTGTGTTGGTCTGACGGTGGTGACAATCCTTGAAGGCGCCCTGCAGATGACCAAAGCTTGGGCAACCTTTAAGGATGTCCAGGGCCCCGCTCCAGTAGCGAGCGACAAATCCTCTTTGGCATTCGAGATCGCAGCAGTGGCCTTTCGGTGCGTCACCACCATTGTCGTTGCAGTAATTGCTTGCAAGCTCAGACGTCTGCCAAAAGCCGATACACCGCAGGTTGTACGGGATTATATTATTCTTGGAGGGCCGGGGGAGTTTTTCTCGGACCTTGACGATAGGAATATAGCTCCCTTGTTGACAACGCTCTATCGGTCCGATATTATTAAAGCAGTTATTGGCGTCAAGCCGATAAATAGTATGTGGCCATCTAAGACGCCAATGTCGGCGGAGGAATTGGAAGAGGACAAGGACAAGGACAATAAGGCTGAGGGTAGCGCTGCACAACAGCGTCTGCCGAGTGAAAATGTATGATGTGATTTATTAAAATGTTGCCCTCACAGAGTATTTGCAGGCCAAACAGAAATATTATAATTTTTTTTATAGAGTCAAGGGCTTCATGCCGAATATCCGCGCGCTTCTTAAAACGGAGCTCTTAATCAGTGAGCCCGTGATATATTAAACCCAAATCAAACCATCCCACATCATATGTAGACTTACGCATCCCAACCCAAACCCAGCTTGTCATAACCATACTACCCACTCTACCTCAACTAGCGAGAGGAAAGTTTAGTAGGGACGAATGAAGATAGCTCTTTTTACGTTATAGAATAGCGTTAACATATCTCTTTTTGACGAAGATCATCTCCTTTCTTCTCTTTTATTGCTCATCGGACTTATCACTCGACCCATAGGTTACATTGGTTTATATTCGTCTACACCCAATCTGATCGGTCAACCCGATCAGCCCTACCCAGATACATCCGAACTACCCATCACCCCTTGCGCGGTCTGGTAGTCATGGTCTCCTCACCTGTAGTAAAGGTTTCGATATATATTACACCTCCCGGATGAACTAGTTCATACCCGAAACTTCGCGAACGAACCGTCTTGGTGAAAGAGCAGTAACATATCCAGGCTGCCATTTACCTCGCATTCAGACGTCACTTACCTACCGACGGTTACTAGCGTATTACCACGGTGGAGAAGAAACAAACAACCCATAGAGCTTCCACCCACCAGCCACTCAGATCCGATCCAATCCGTAACGGCAACAGTGGCTCGTCAGGCGCTCAAAAGGTAAATCCCGGCTCATAATGAGCGGTCTGATGGTATTTTATCCTACATAGCGCATCAGCACTGCCGTGCTATGAAATTGTTTGAGCAAGCTGATCAGTGGAGCAGGCAGGGAGTAGGACGGAGCTGATGAAAATCAACATTCCCGGAGGAGTCTGGACGGGTAAGATAGGTTCTGACCGCTGCTGGGCCCTCCCTACTGAGTCAGCTCGCGGTGGCTCACGCTGTAGGTAAGTAGATGCTTGAAACGGTTGTAGTTTTTTGCCATTGTGTGTTATGGGGGGGGTGGTGGGGTTTGTGGTGGTACGAATGTTGACCAAGAGCCCTCTAGTAATACTCGATCGACAGCGCTGGGTATTCGCGGGATGTCCAGTCGGTGTGACTTTCTATAACAAATATCCCGAACCTGGAGTCCGATATCGGATATCGCACTCCCGAAGACCGTTCTAGTCCGTTAACCACACCTTGCCGTTGTCAAGCTCAGAACAACCTTCTAGACCTAATGTCGTTCACACCTATTCTGTCGACTTGGTCTTGTTCCTACCCAGTTCATAGCTCTTTTCGTACCTGCCGGCATTCATATCTTACCCCACAACATTAAAAGCCGACCTATACGGTGTTCCACTCGCCAGAATATAGCTTAATCCTACCTAGGATCCACATAGCTCATTGAGACCATTCCTTGTAGGCGGTTTCAACTCAGTGGCACCCACATACCTTCGGAGGTAATCATTTTGCTGTTCAAATTCCTATTCCCCGCTTGGTGCATGCTTTGACGGGTATGCCGTAGTGATGGTCCATCGCCCTTGTATGGCTCTCCAGTGATGATGATTGGCATCGTGCAGAACTCCCACTGGACTACATCTCCGTTGCCGTTGTTGACATGACCTATCATCAGAAAAATACGTCCAAAAAAATATATGGTGCGCCCACTCCTAAAGGTGACAAAAATCGGGCGAAAAGTCAATGGCTTATAACTTTGCCAAAAAAGAGATTTAAAAAAATCGGTAAATAAAAAGTGTAGTACTAGTGATGAACTTTAGCTTTTATTTCCAGATTTTTGATATCTACTTTAGTTAAAAAGTTATGAGAGTTTGAAGTTGCGGATTTTGTATGTAAAAGGCGCCAAGACTGAGCAAAGTGGAACAGTATTATACCCATTTATACCTCCTCAAAAGTGAATTGCGGCAGGTATGCAGCAAGGTGGCTAGGAATAAGCCCTCTCATTGGCCTTGGAGTTCATCTTGCAGCCACGATTGTTCCACTTCCAGATACCGCCGTGTCACCTTTAAGAGTGTGCGCACCATACCTTGAAAGGAACGTAGCTGTTGAAATGACCTACCTTCACAAAAACGCCTTGATGAAATTAACCTGGGAAAAGAAGAACCTACCAGCTGTTGTCGGGCGAAGCAAGAGAGGGAACGGCGGTCTATAAGCACTGAAATATGTTCCAGTTGACGCACCATTCTACGCAAGAATGCCGGGCGGTAACGCACCAAAGGAGGACCTTGGCGCGGCTGTGGGGGTGCGGGTATCTTTCTTGTGGGTTGCGCTGTGTGCAGAATGACCTCGGGTGTACTACACGTGCTTAGTGGGAAGGGCCATTTATATCTAGACCTACGCTTTGATTAGTTTATTCCCTGTTGCTGTGATGGGAATCATAGGGTATCACTCGCCCGGGTGTCATGAGAGGTCACTCGTTCATGGCATGTCACTCGATGTTTTCATAGAGGCTCACTCGATGCTATTCTCGGCGGACGCGAGACCAGATTGATTTCTCATTCATCGATTTCTCATCGATTTTTTAGATACTGGAATACGTTTGATATGAGAGATTCTTGTAATGGTCTGGGGCCCTGAGGGCATTGTCAGGTGTCGAAACATTAGGTAGCGTAATATAACGTTGATATTGCTCACTATACTAATTACATATCTCGATGCCGGAGACTGGGGGGGGGGGGGCGTGCTACAATCTGCATAATATGCATTCCCGAATTCAGGTTTATGGATCATATCCATTCGGGCACCCCCGGGAAACATCTAGGCAGTGATAGTGAATGAAAGAATATTTTATATGCGGGCTGCCATAGTTAATGAACAAGATGGACAATAGCTGTAACACTCCCGTTATGTCTATGAAAGTGCGGCATAAGGTCATTATGAGGATGTCGGTATAACGTACTAGAAGCCAAAATCCATTGCTTTGTTTTAATAAACAGAAAGATGGGTTTTGGTCAGTTTTAGTGGTAGACAGGTCCAACAGGGGAGTGGGTTCCCAATACTTTGCTGAGCAAGAGGGACTGTACATGGACGGTCAAGGTATATGTATGTAGGAAGCCTCTATACAGCGCGGCAGGGACACTTTCACCACACCGCAAGTCATTGATGCAGATCCATCATCTCATTTAGCCTTCATTGCATCTCGCAGCTCCTTATTCTCTTTCGCATAATTTTCAGATTTAGCATAAACTGTTATCTTCATCCGTTTCATGTGTATTATTTAGCTATTCATGACTTATAGTACCTTCCCAGACACAGCAAATCAAAACCTACAGCTAGTCCCACGCAACAAAGCCTTCACGTGTACAGACAACAAATCAAATTCTATAAATAGAAACCCTCTGCCTCCTCTTTTCTCCCATCTCAGCAAGCTCACCACAACTATAAATCACGAAATCACAAATTCCAATACATATGACGGGGATCACTCCAATGCCCATCACCAGCCAAGAGGATGCCACCGCCCCCACCGGCGCAGCACCCCCCCGATCTAGTCAGCGATCGCGGGCCACCACCGAGCCAGACCAGCCACGCCGTAGTGACAGCACAATAACCACTAGGCACCGCATCATCCCAGCTCTCCCTCTCTTCATTCCTGCCATTGTCCCTTCCTCGCCGCGTAAATTGTTGACCAATCCCCTCCCCAAAACATCCAAACTAATTGTCTTTCCAGATAAAGAATATCCCCACCTACCCCCGGGAACCCACTACCGCCTAGAAGACCACCAGCCGGCGACAAACCCGGACACACGCACTGTCTTGGCAACACCGCGCGCAACAGCAGTAGTGGAGCCTGGGGCTGCGGTGATGACAGTGCCACGTAATGAGGTGGAGGCGGCGGAGGCGGCTGATGGGACAGGTGTACGGCCGCTCATAGAGAGTGCAGCAGTCAGAGAAGGCGGAGAGGGCTCCGGCGGATTGAGAGGGGAGTTACAAGCTTCGAGTCCATATCGGGGAACGGGGAGGTATCGGAGACCGAGGAACTTTGAGGACTCCTCGTCGACTAGTAGAGAGTGGTGGTAATCGCATGGGCGGCTAGGGATTGTTTAGATTCTCGTACCTCTTGAGCTTGCCGCATTGTTGCAACTACCGTTGTAGTAGCTAGATGGACTTTATCATATGCTCAGCTGACTGATTATTAAATGAAATGATGCTATTCCACGGATTCTCCACAACGCGTAAGTGAGTTATTCCGACTATGTCTCCTTTAACTCCTCGCAAGATTGGTGAATTATCACTCGCGCGACTCCCGAGTAATTGTACATGACTTCCCACTGTATCTACATGAGCCGTAGCCGAGCGCAAAGGTTCTCTCGATGGAGCTTCCAGAGGGTGATCTGGTAACATGATAACCTTGATGCCGGAGCAAGTATTTAGATATCACCGTCGGAGGTAAGTTGCGATCGTTTTGATTGAGGATAGTTCTAGCTTTGGTCTGGCGTGGAGCGAGGACGGTAATAAGCGTATTTTTTCTTTTTTTCTTTTTTTGTTTAATTCACTGGTAATAAGCGCTAATCGTTGATTGATTAAATTTATTATTAGTGGCGTTACCAATCAGATCTGGCGGGGGTCTTCAATAAGAAATAAGGGTACATTAAATAATTGTACATGCTTATATCGTCGATTAAGCTCAGAGCTTTACAAGCAAAAGCACCAGATACGCAATGCCGACTGTATACTTCGGATAGTATACGTAGGAAAAACCAGGTAGCCAGCGTTAAGTCAGTAAACGGTAAATGTCGAGCACACGAGATTCTTCTCATCGAATTAAAATCCAGAGTATATAATTGTAATATATAGGGCTATAAGGTATAAAGGCAGTACTACCACTCTGTCAGACATGTTAATGCATCAATTTACACATTAGCGATACAGAATCGCCGAGGGAAGGGAAAAGGTGATACATTAAGTCAGGAAGTTGTGAGCAAGTGCATGCATCTTATTCAGGAATAAGCAATATGCGTAGCTTGGGGCTTATTTGATGCCTATTTGATGCTGATATCGACGATTAGGTTTAGATACCGATACCCCTGAGCACCGTATACGCCATACCGAGGGTAATATCGATATTTGATGCTGATACGGTCGATTAGGTTCAGATATCTAGGGCTGAATAAGAAAATTGGTTTACTAATCGATTTCATTGGCTATAAAGTAGGTAAATAGCAAAAGAACTGGTATCGTTTAGCTAACATTAATACAGGTGCTATGCTATAAGATGCTATGCTATAAGGTCAGTACTATACTATTATTAGGCTAGGATACCTAATAGGGCGTCGTCGCCCGATTGGATCGTGTCTGCATCGTCGTTCTCCCGGTCGTCCTCCCCGTCTTCATCGGTATGCTGGGAGGCGTCCGGAGAAGCCGGAGAGACACCCCCCTCCCAGCACCGAGGACCGTTTGGGCGACCCTTGGCTCCATCGTCACCGGATACGTCAGATAGGTCATATATCTCATTCTCGGGGTCCCCAAACCGGACATCGTCGTCCAGGTCGGTAATCTCCCGATTACCAGCCTTGGTCTTCTTCCCCCTAATCTTAGGAGGGTGCATGTGATAGTGGCTTAGCTTAATCGTATCCCAGCGCGTGGAGGTGCCAAGCTTATCCCAGAACTCCCCCAATTGTGCCTTATTATATCGTGAGGTGCGGGGTAATCGATATGCATCTTAATCTGTGTGCACAGGTTGATGTAAATCGCTGGTAATGCGTCAGATTATGTGTGGCTGGTACACTACTACTAGGTGTGGAGGTAGGGGAGTACCTACGACACAGCGAGTCCTTGACCTGACTATATGGAATCTCCTGGAAGGTAATAAGTCCGTAGACACAGGCATACGGTGTGGTTCTCCGGTGTTGTAGAGAAGGAATGGAAATGAACACTCCCCTGGAATGAGCCGCTCCGCTTTCTCAACTAATCCCGCCTAGAGTTGGTCAAATAATGGCCACCCTGTGTCAACCATAAACTGTTTTGATTGAAAATCCATATACGCTTCGATCTTCACAGCACCATTAAACCCACCGCAATATCGATCGAGCTGATCCGATCGATTCCAGACCTTGGTTTCTCCACCTCCAGATATTGCCACGAACGCTGTCACCTGAGCAATGTATCAGATGCGAAAGCGCAAAATGATAGAAAATGACACATGGTTCTCTAGCAACTGTCAGTAAATACCACCCCTCCCAGGTACTACCGTTCTACACCGTGCCATCAAATCAGCCAGCCGACCCATGTATCCATCACAGGAATCACAGAACACTGTTATAGAAGTAAAAGGGACAGTGAGGGAAACAAGTCATGGGTTGTGATGCGAGGACGGTCGGGTAATGGAAGGACAAGCATAGAATGGTATCAGGTAGCGTGGGGGCACATGGTGCTATCACACTAGTATTAGGCTGTTGTCGTGCTACTCGACGTGCTATTCTAGCACCCTCCCTAGCAGCCTCCTGGCTGCCAAGTAATTGCGCTTCTTCAGCGAGATCCCTGCCGTCTCGGAAATCACGATCAAAAGAGACTCTTTGACCTAATCTTGCAATTATTTGATTGGCTGATATCAATTGATGTCCTCAATTAATAACCATTCCTCAGGGTTAGGTGGTCATTGTGTCACCAAACGCTTGATTTCATCAGCCAAACCGACGTGCCGTATGACGGGCTGGTAAGTACGGTATGCATCTTGGTAGATACTCCTAATATTTTTTGATGCTCGTCGTATGTTGCGCTGCTGGGTGGTTGGTTAAAGCCTGATTGGCTAGAGGAGGGAATAGATGTAATATCCGGCCGCCTTCCGATTGAGAATCTCCGAATAAGTGGTCATAAGAAGCCAGTTCGTTCTCACCGGATTAACCAGATAGTTCCGCGGTTCCTGGTGGGTACACAAACTGTGTCCTGTCCCCGGTCTAAATATACTAAATTAGTATCAGTTAAGAGAACTACTGGGGGGCAGTTACTGACCAACATGTATGTTGACCAAGGTATGGAGTGGTGTGGCTTGTAATCAGTGTCCCCAATACAATGACGATGACGAGGGAATTGGAGTTGGCAGCAAGAGAACGGAGCCGCCAGTGATTTTATAATTGGCCAGAGGTGATCCCAGCCCAGAAAAGATCATCTGAGGGAGAGGGTGAACAAGGAGAAAGAATGGAGGCCGATGGAGCCGGGTATATGTACTGAACGCAGGAGATGGGTGGGTTCAGGAGATCCTTTTCGCCTCGCTGGATGAACAAGACTTTGTGATATTTTGATGAAGCGGGATGGAGGCACAGGTCAAAAGAGAACAAACAGGTAGGACGTTTGATTCGAAGTAGATGAACGAGGCTCCGGATACTGTTGAAGCAAACTCCGGTGGGCGGTGTGGAGCTGGATAGAGGCGCGGAGGTAGGAGGGAGAGAATGCTGGGTGGAGAACGGATAAGAGGAATAGTGTTTTGGGGAGATTAACGAGGCTCCGGACAATGTTGAATCAAGACCCGGTGATGGAGCCTCGTGGTTTGATGGGGTTCGTTTATTGGGGGCGGTGGGCGGAAGCCGCTCTTCCATGCTGCCTGGCATGTTCGGTTAACATTCAGCGGAAAGAATGTAAAATGGATGGAAAACGGTGACGCTGTGAACGATGAACTATGCTGACTGAGAAAGGAAGGGTGAGAGTGCCCGAAAGAGCGATGGCATAGATGAGACATCTATCCTCCACAGAGAAGAAGACAAGTTGCCTTCGCCGGTCCCGTCACAGCAGGCTGAATCGTGTTATGCTCAGCGGGAACCAAAGCGTCGGAGAATGAAAAGGAGTATGTGAATTGTGTCCGCTCTTGGAGCATAGAGGACACGCTGATGATATAGGATGGCCTATGTGTGATAAGGCCGGTTAGATGGGAATATGAGATGAGGTGCTGAATTATTGCCAGGTTACAAAAATAACTACGCACCCCGCATAGAAACCAGACACGATTCTCAATCCGTTTCATTCCGGCCATGGACAAGAGTACTAGATATAGCTCTCTTACTCCCTAGATTCATAGGTATAGAACCATCTTTCTCATAGCTATTGTGACTGTCGAAATATACCTACTCTGACGGTTGTTGGTTGTCGTTGGTGCGAAGTTATTTTTGTAACCCGACAATACTATGGGTTGTAGTGATAGGTATGATGAAAGAAGGTAGAGCGAAGTAAGCCTCTTTACATCATCTAAGTAATGCGGCTCTTCCCATCCTTGCTCACACACCGCTGAGTCAAGGATTACGGTTTAGTGCCTTGGCGACGGGAGTGAAGGTCCACCACCAACCAACCACCCGCAGATTGCGGGGATTTACCAGAGAGGTCGACGTCAATCTACATACTTGGCCTCATTTACTACCATAAAATGTACATGTAACGATCACCTTGCAATACATGTAGCTCTAGCGGGTCGCCGAACATAGATCGACCCGCCTGACCCGCTGACGTAAATCACGGACCCCCGACCCAGTGAGCTTCGCAACCTATCCCGAGTTAGCTAAATTAAAATGTTAAACCCTTCTACTGGGAACGTGAGATCGTTATAAAAGACAACCCAGCGGAGGATCTATAGAGCTCGGAACGTCAACAATCACAAGAGCATTAAGTTGCTCCGGATCATCATATATCACCGAACCAACCGTAGACAACTATGCCCGGCGTAGTAATGACACACACACGTACCCGCTGCGCTGGAGCTATCAGATTAAAATAACCTCCTACATCTAGCTGATGAATTTCTACATTCCTGAAATCGACGACCCGAGCGGTAGCATGCCCGGTATGCAACCCGGGCTATCCGACCCATTACAGGCCCTCCTGAGGACCGCATATCAACCCTTGATCTTGGCCGAAGGTCAATCGCTGCCCGGTTTAATTGTGATGGGGTCGGCTCCAAATCGATTCATATCGAAACTTAACAGACCACAATATCCTAACTACCGGAGCCCGAGGGGAGATGTGAAATCATGAATGATCACTCGGAGATGCTGGGTATAATCTTTTCAAAACGACGCCGCATTCAGTAAAGCCCTCCTTTAAATCCAACCTCCCTTTATTTAGATTGCTCTTTGGACCCTCACTATCTTGGGGGTTTCAATGATATCCGTACACACAGTGAGCCATTAGTGAGATATAACGATAAAACCAGTTCCTACTCTCGTCCCCAGTGGTCAGCGACAGTTATGGACTGTGTAAATAGTAATCACCCGAGTAGGCATATTCACAGGTCTAGCTTCAGCGATAAGTAGCCGCACCTGCTACAACCGCAGAGGTGGGGTGGTACGAAATAACACGGAAACCCTAACCCTGTGGCCATATACCGGCATGAGTTAGGATGAGAAGCGAATACAATCGTTTCATGGCAATACTTCCCTGTAGAAGAGCCTGATCTAGAAAATATTCTATTCACCCTCAAGACCTTTCGATACTGGGAATTCGCCCCCACAGATTACAGAGGTCACTAATTGTGCCTCAGCTGCGTCCACGTGATAGCCAGGCAACCACCACTCCACCCCCGCGCTATTCCTCTCAAATCCTTACACCTCAAGCTACCACAATTGCTCTCTTCCAGAAATAAGTGACGCACGGGCCCGAGAATTACGAGGAGGCGAAGCGGGTTAGGTTCGAGTGATAACTTGTGTTCGAGTGATATTATATGACTAGTCGCTAGGGCAGCGCCACGCCGATCCCTACTTAACATATTAGTGTGAAGAAACTCCCGCCACGCAGCGGACCCTCGTGAATGAATTGATAGATCGACTTGAATCTTATTAGAAGCATGATTACGATTCTTACTAGACACACTTGTCTACATTCTTGTACTCGAATAGTTTCGACTGTATCTTTACTAACTGAAACTGTCCTCTCCGCATCTGTCCCACGTTATATGCGCTCCGAAGAAATAAAAAGCCTTTGAAAGGTACGACTCCTAGAACGAACTTCAACTATCTGTGATCTTAGTCATGTATCATCACTCGGTATTATAACATTACGATTCTTGAATTGACGGAGATATTTGGCTCCGGTGTGTTCATATTTTAGCAAGGCTACTCCAAGTCTATAATATCTCAGGTAGGCTCACCTACATCTCATGCTAGCATTTGAGATTCGTAAAGTCATTACCGCTGATCATGAAATTGTAAGCAGCCCGCTTTCACACATACTTGTATCCAGCGCTCGCTTATTACGCTGCACGACCTACTTTCTAGAGATAGCTATATACTACCCAGAACATTATATAATTATGCCAGGTCTTTTTGGTAATCACGAGTCTATTCTCACTCTCTTGCTCGGACACCTCTGGAACCAAAGCGCCCGTCGTTACTTCAATAGGGAGGCATAGGTATTGAACAAAGGTACGAAGCAAATGTTGTCTGGAAAGAGGTATAGGTGTGCGAACGTGTTTGCACAATAGAATATGTTTCGGGGGAGGATGTAGTGATAGCCTGCGCAATAAGACGTGAAGTACAGAAGAGATCCCGGAATTATAGCTCTCAGGCCGCATATGATTCACGGGTCATCAATCAATTATTAATATGGACTTAGGGTTAGGGGAGGCAG